ATCTCAAAAGAAGAAGAGAAGCAAATAAGCTGCAGATGAAAAGCTACATGATACTTTGACATCTGCATTTATTAAATATGTCATAAATGGTGGAGTAAAGATGTTCTAAGCACAACAATGAAGACAAAATTAAAAATAAATACCAGATGTCCCACTAAAAAGTGTTGACTCTTTTTAGCTTCCCGAACTAGACATGCAAGCACAGAAACATGTACATGTAAAAAACAAAAAAACAAAACTTAATTGTTGTAATATAATACAAACAATTCATAATAAAGCACAATGATTATTAAAATCATGAAGCAAAATTATCACATTTGGTGAAGATGCAGCATTGCACTTGAAAGAGCTGGATCTTTCGATTCATTTAGACATGATTTCAGACATTTGATTTTTTTATGACTCAGCAGAGACTTACAATGAGTGAATCTCTTCCCACATGGATGGCAGTGATACAGCTTCTCTCCAGTGTGGATTCTCTCGTGTGCTTTCAAGGTTCCTGACTGATTGAAGCTCTTGTCACAGTGTGAACACTTGTAAGGTTTTTCTTCAGTGTGGATCCTCTGGTGCTGTTTCAATTCATCAGCTCTAATAAAGGTCTTCCCACAATAAAAGCACAAATGATTCTTCACACCGCTGTGTCTTTTCTGGTGTTGTGTTAAAAGACCCAGCTGACTAAAACTCTTTCCACACAAAGAACACAGGTGAGGCTTCACCTCTGAATGAACTTTCAGGTGGTTCTTCAGGGATTTTGCCCAAGAAAAGTTTTTACCACACTGATCACAGTTATATGGTCTTTCTCCAGAATGAGAGAGCACATGTGATTTAAAAGACCTAACATGTGCAAAACTCTTCCCGCACTGATCACATGTGTGTGGCTTTTCTCCAGTGTGGATTCTCATGTGATAATCAAGGTGTGCTTTCTGTGTGAAACTCTTCCCACATTGATCACATGTGTGAGGCTTCTCTCCACTATGAAATCTCATGTGAAGTTTAAGGCTCGGTTTGTATGGGAAACTCTTCCCGCACTGATGACATGTGTGCAGCTTTTCTCCAGTGTGGATTTTCATGTGATCATTAAGGTTTCTTTTATGTCTGAAACTCTTTCCACACTGATCACATGTGTGTGGTTTCTCTCCAGTGTGAATTTTCATGTGATCATTAAGGTGTCCTTTATGTCTGAAACTCTTCCCACACTGAAGGCAAGTGAAAGATTTTTTGGATCTTTTCAGGGAAAAAATGTTCTCAGTCTGTGAGTGACTCAAAGATTTGATATGATGATGTTTCTCCTCTGCTTCACTCAGGTCTTCAGTCTCTTTCTCATTCTCTTTCATCAAGGCTAAAACGAAAGGGAAAGGCATTAATTGGGTGTTGGGAGTAACGCATTACAAAAGTAAAGACATTAAAATAGTATATTACTTTTTGCTGTAACCAGGGGCGGTTCTAGACCCTTTTTAGGTGGGCTTCAGCCCCCTATTTGTCTTCTCAACCCCCCTAAAAAACTATAATCCAAATTGAGTTCACTTTTGCATCTTCTTGAGCAAATACACACAATATTGTCACAATGGCTGTCTTGACGAGTATCCAAGTAAACAGTCGGTTATGTCTTAAAGGGGTCATCGGATGCCCATTTTCCACAAGTTGATATGATTCATTAGGGTCTTAATGAAAAGTCTATGACATACTTTGGTTAAAATTTCTCAATGGTAGTGTAAAAAACACCCTTTTTACCCTGTCAAAATCAGCTCTGTTTTCAGCAAGCCGATCTAGTCCATGTTGCTTTAAATGCTAATGAGCTCTGCTGACCCCGCCCCTCTCTTCCGTGGGGTGACGAGCAGACTGTAAACTTCAGCCGCGAAACTTGCTAACTAGCATTAGGAAAGGCGATTTGCAAAGATTCATTAAAAAACCCGTATACTCACTTCTTCTGAATGAAGCTGGATCACGAATGATTCACGCGTACAGACTAGTGATGGGTCATTCTTGAACGATTTCATTTCACAATTTCATTTTGAACGAATCTTTAATGTGACTCGGGAAGAACGAGTCATCTCGGGGAGTGATTCGTTCAGTCGCGCATGCGCAACATCCTATAGGTTCTGTACTGGAATTAGTCAAGTAGTTTACCTGTTTCGAGTCTTCAGGTTTTTCCGAGTCGTTCATTCATCACGTGACAGTCCCATAAGCTTAACCTATGCAGTCTGAGCCGGAAAGAAACTTAATAATAATAACCAACTCTTTATTACCTTTGTTACAACATTCAGCGTTATGGAAAAGAATCATCATGACAGAAATTCCCACATTTATGAACTGTAAGATGTAAAAAGCTACAATTTGAGACCAGAAACACATCACGTAACTGTA